CCCCTTCCCCAATTCCTCAACATTGTTCCCCCTTCCTCAATTCCCCAATAAAATCTTTAAATAAAAGTGGAAACAGAACACAAAATCTCTGACGCGCAGTGAAAGCCGTGCTCAGAGGGAAACTTACGGCTGAAAATGCTTACATTGAGCAGGAATAAAGATCTCCAATCAATAACCTAATCTTTAACCTTATAAAAACCAAAGAAAGAAGAGAAAACTAAACCCAAAGCAAGCAGATGGAAGGAAAGAATAAAGACTAGAGTGGATATATATGGAATAGAAAATAGAAAACAATAGAGAAAAAGCAATGAAACCAAAAGGTGGTTATCGAAAAGATCAGCAGAACTGACAAACTTTTAGCTAGACTGACCAAGAAAAAAGAAAAAAAAGACTCAAATTACTAAAATCAATAAAGGAAGACCTTATATAGAGATGAAAATGATGATAGCAAGGATGATAGTTGTTCATAGAACAATAGTATTTTAAACAAATTAAGTAACTTAGAAGAACTGGACAAATTCCTAGAAAGACAAACTAATAACCCTGAGCCAAGAAGAAATAGGAAATCTGAATAACCTATAACAACAAGTACAAGTTGAGATAATAATAATAATAATAATAATAATCCTTCCCAATAGAAAAACCCAGAACAAGTGGTCTCACTGGTGAATTCTTCCAAATATTTAAAGAATTAGCACTAAATTTTCACAAATTCTTCAAAAGTAGAAGAGGAGGAAACATGTCCAAAAACAAACATGAGAAAAGAATACTATAGACCAATACTGTTTAGGAGTGCAGACAAAAAAAACCACAACAACAACAAAACTCAATGAAGTACCAAACCAAATCCAGAAGCATATTTAAAGGATAATATACCACGTCTGATGATGGTATTTATCCCAGAAATGCAGGACCGGTTCAACACATGAAAATCAATCAACGTCATACAACACATGAATAGAATGAAGCTACAGCGTCAAAACAGTGTGGTGCTGGTTCAAGGGTAGGCAAACACACCAGTGGAACAGAATTGAGAGTGCAGAAATAAACCCACACATATGTGGTCAGTTGATTTTCAACAATGTGCCAAGAACTGTCTCTTTGACAAATGATGCCAGGACATGGGATGTCCACATGCAAAAGAATGAAATTGGACCCTTACCTCACATCTATACAAAAATTAACTCAAAATGGGTCTATGACCTAAATGTAAGAGCTAAACTATTATAAAACTTTTAGAAGAAAACATTGGTATAAGTCTTTCCAATTTTTGATTTGGCAATGGATTCTTAGACATGATCTCAAAAATAAGAATAACCACAGAGAAAATAGATAAATTGGACTTCATCAAAATCTAAAAATTTTGTTCAAAAAAGGACATTATCAAGAAAGTGAAAAAAGAACTCACAGAATAGGAGAAAATATTTGCAGACCACGTATCTGATAAGGATTTAGCACCCCGAAATAAGAGAGCTTTTATAGCCTGACAAGGAAGAATTGACAAAGTATTTGAATAGAAATTTTTTCTAAAGAAGATATACAGATGGCCGACAAATGCATGAAAAGACACTATCATTATCATTAGGGAAATGTAAATCAAACCCACAACGAAATACTACTTCATACCCACTTGATGACTATTAAAAAAAAGAAAGATAAAAAATGTTGACAAGGATGTGGAGAAATTGGCACCCTCGTCCATTGCTGGTGGGAATGTGAAATACTGTGGAAAACAGTCTGGCAGTTCCTCCAAAAGTTAAACATAAGAGTTACCATATGACCCCCCCCAATTCTAGCGCTAGGTGTATACCCAAGAGAACTGAAAATACATGCTTATGCAAAAACTTGGACATGAATATTCACAGCAGAATTATTCATAACAGACAAAAAGTAGAAACAACCCAAATGTCCATCAACTGTTGAATGTTTATGCAAACAAATTGTGGTATATCCACACAACGGAATATTATTCAGCTGTAAAAAGAAATGAAGTACCAACACACGCTACCACGTAGAGGAATCGTGAAAACATCACACTAAGTGAGAGAAGCTGGGAAAGGCCACAGGGTGTTCGAGTCCATTGATATGAAATACCCAGAGTGGGGACATCTGTAGGGACAGGAAGTAGACGAGTGGTTGCCAGTGGGGGAAGGGAGCAGGGAGTGATGACTAATGGGTACTGGGTTTCTTTCAGGGAAGATGAAACTGTTCTGGAATTAGATAGTGGAGATACTTGCACAACTTTATGAATAGTCTAAGAACCACTGAACTATATACTTTAAAACAGTGAATTTATCATGTGAATTATCTGAGAGAGACGTGGGGGGTGGGGGGTAGGGGGTAGGGGATGGGGAGGAGATGGAGATAGCTCCGAGCCGCTAGCTTCCCCCAGCCAGTTTCACACCCAGAGACACACTCTTTAGCACAGATGCTCCCTCCCACCCTAGGACATGGACATGGACGTGGACGTTTCTCGTGCTCAACCCACTCAGTACAGCTGGAAACACTGCCCACCCCCTACATACCCTAAGGGCCCTTGACCCTCAGCCCCTCCCCCTGGGCGGGGATGGGTGAGGAGCATACAGACCGTGAAGGTAGTGAAGACCCAGTCTTGGGGGAGGCCCTTGGCCTTCCTGAACTTGTCATTGATGTAGTGATTGAGGTGGTCCATGCTCCATACCGTGTCATCCTTCAGCAGTGCATAGAGGGGGTTCTTCTTCTGCATGAACTGGGGGGCAGTGTTGTGCCTAGAGACCATCGCCCCAGAGGCCCCAGCCCCAGGACACCTTGCAGTGACCCTGCTGCTGAGGCCCTCCCACAACACCTTCTCCCACCGAGACCCTCTCAGCTGATCCTCACAGAGGGCCCTGCCTACACTCTTTCCATTAAGAACCTTCCATGGAGACCTCTGCCCCACAGGGGCTTTCCACTGAAGTCCTTAGAGACCCTTGGCCCAGGCTCCCACCCCTCCTGCCTCATCCACACCCAGAGGGAACCAAGCAGGGGGCGGGATATAGGGCTCTCCGTCATTTCACCAGGGTGCCGTGCATGGCTGAAGATGAGAGGTAATGCTGACTGCCGGCCCAGGCCATCTTGGGGCCTGGACCACCTCTGGGCCTGGACCACCTCTGGGTCTGAGCCATGTCCACAGCTGGACTCTCTATGAGCAGTTCCTGAGCAGTGATCTTGTCCCAAGGTGGTAGGAAGGGGCCTCACCTGGTTGGTCAGGTGGCCACTGAGGTCCTTGGAATGGGGATCATAAAGACTGAGGGTGAGGCGAGCATAGCCATGGCCAAAGAAGACCATGTAGGGCATGGCACAAGCAATAAGCAGGTAGGAGCGCACGTCAAACTTCTTCCCGTCCAGCAGCAGCGGGTTCTGGATGTACCTGGGGGCAACGTGAGGGCTGAGCACATGGCCAGTCTGGCTGGTGTCCCTTTGCCCTCACCAGAGCCAGCTCTTCAGCACTTCTGCCACCTGTCCCATGTGTGACCTGCGGATTTCCTCCCCTGGCTGAGAGCAGTGTCCATTGGTAGGGAGGCATTTCTCAGCCCGAACAGGTGAGAGAAGTGCTAGATCTCAGCCCACTGTGGTGTTTGGGGGGCCCAGGCTGCAGCTCTCACTAGGAGCCTGGAGGGTGGAAGCCAACTGGGTCCATGGGCAGGGAGGACCGCCTGGAGGAGGGACGGCTGACATTGAACCTTAAAGGGTGAGTGGCATTGGAGAGGCAGGGAGCTATAAGGCTACAGACCCAGAGGCTGCAGGCAGCAGCTTGGAACAGCCAAGGGCCAGCGGGGCGGGGGGAGAAGGTCAGCAGACAGCAGCTGTGACAGGCTGTGGTCCACACTAGCAGACGGGGAGTTCCAAAGGGACCTTTCTGAGGCCTGACTGTGCCCCTCAGAGTGAGACTTGGGTATGGACCCCATCCAGAGGCAGAGGAATCAACGGAGGGACAGTCAGCTCTGGCTGCACACCTGAAGGCTGTGGCTGCCTGGACAGGAGCCAGCGGGGAGGCTGGCTGTGGGGAGACCTGCGGGGTGGGCTTCCTGCAGGACAGGGGGCCAGGGCCCAGGGTGAGCGGCAAACTGACCAAGCCTCCCCTGTCCCACCCCCATTTGCCTGGAGCCCACTTCCTCTGCCACCCTGACAGGATGTGACATCTCCATCCACCTCGGCTGGCTACACAGGGGCCCAGCTAGGGCACCGCGGCCTTCGAAGACCAAGGACTCCTGCTCTGTGGGCTTCGAGACCCCCACAGGCTTTCACAGGCACCAGCGGGTCCCAAGGTGACCTCCACTCCCCACGGACGCCCTTCGTGGTGTCCACGCCCCACACCTCTGCACAACCCGCGCCTGAGGCGCCCGGCATGGCATCTTGCGGTAGATGGGGTCGTCCTCGACGCTTTGGGTCTTGGCCTGGAGGGCGGCGACTTCCTCCTGGTTCCTGAGCAGAAAGATGCCTTTGCCCTGGTTGGCGGCGGAGGGCTTGCAGATCCACATCTGGGTCTCTGCAGAGAACACCATCTCAGCCAGCCCAGCCCCGCAGCTCCCAGCCCCGCCCCCACGGCACGACCACGCCCACCAACCATGACCACGCCCCCCGGCACCCAAACACACCCCTCTCAGCCCTGCCAGCTCTGTCAGTGACCACGCCAGCCACGGCCCCAGATGCCCTCCAGCCATGGCTCCGCCCCCACCAGGCTGCAGCCTGCATTAAGGCCCACTCATGACCCCCGCCCTGACTTCGCCCGCCTGGCTCCACATTTCCCCTCCCTGGCCACGCCCTTACTTCGCCCTAGCCCTGCCTTAATCACCCCCCAACCCAGAAACCATCTCCCCTGAGCAGGCCTGGCGTCCAGCGGCCTCTCACCGTCAAAAAGGGTGAAGAAAGCCTCTCTCTCATCCTTGATGTCCAGACGGTAGGTCTCTGGGAAAAATTCTTCCATTTTGAGGACCCTGGGGGAGCAGGGGCGTGGGGAGGACACAGGGGGTCTGTCTCCCTCCCCACCAGGCTTGGCCGCCGTTCTAGGGGCCTGACCTGGGGCCTGGAGGGAGAGTGGCCGCTGGGAAGCCGAGCTGGGCTCAAGGCTTCCGGTTTCCTCTGCAGCCCAGCCCGGCGGCTGTCCCCTGGCCAGAGGCCTTTTCTGGCTCCTTGCTCCCCTGGCTTCTCTGTGCGCTGCAGGCTGCCTCCTCCACATCCCGGCCCCTCCCCCACTGTCCCCCTTCTCCCCCACCTGCAGGTCGTGGGCATTTGTGACCCGTCATTTCAGAGCTGTGTCCCTAGGCGAAGCCAGTGCCCGCTAGCACTGAGTAGTCAGCATGGAACCCTGAACCCCCAGGGCTAGTCCAAACCTCTCCCCTGGCCTGGGAGGCCCTTTCACCCCTCCTCATCTCCCATCAGGCCACCCTTCAATTTAGGGCAGAATGGCCCCTCCCAGCGGAGCTGAGGGCATCTACCTCTGTGGCCCCAGGTGTTCTGGGCTGGTCCGTGTGAACTCCTGGGGAGCAGGTGTTGCATCCTTCCCAGATCTGCACCCCAGAGGGACACGGCCTGGCCTGAGTGTGCACTCAGTAGTTTCTGGAGAGTGGATGGGTGGGGGTCTGGAGAGGTGGGGGCTTTGAGGTGACAGGTGGGTGGTTGGATAAATGGATTTTGGACGGA